ACTATCACAAGAATTTCCGTGCACAAAATCAGAATGGTATAAGCAACAAATTGAGGAGTCAGAAGTGGAAGGGTTCCAGGGCTCGTTCTGGGCACCAATTAAGCAGAAAGACATGCCACAAAAAGAAGAAAACTTCTGTGCACAATTGCAGAATGCATTGAAATCAACAGTGTTTGCAGTTTGTAGCATGTTGAGTAATCAGACTCGAGCTTTAGAAGTTATATTTGCATTTGATGAAGCTAGAGCATTACTGGAACCACATGACACTTTGAATGGAAATAATTTGTTTTATTACTTGATAATGGCATAGCACTTCTTCCAGAATATCATGCTGATAAGACTTTTGGAATCTTTGGTGTTTTTTTGGATACTGTTTCGAAAATGGCAAATTTTTTACCCTCTGCTGTACTGGACCTACTGGACCCTTCCCTTCAGTATATTGTAAAGAGTACAATTTTGTATCCACCATACCACTTGCTGGCATTTTGGGACATCAATATAAAGGATAATGACAATTTACTATCTTTACTTCAAATGATAGTTGGTGATCAAGAGAATGGAGCCAATATTGCTTCACTGTTAGATCAGGTTTTTCAATATGGCTGTCCACTCTGGTCAACCTATCTGGATTCTTCAACAGCAGTTGACCCTGTTTCATCATTAATTGATATTGGTACTGCAAAGCTCCTAGGAGGAATCAATCTGCAAAGGGCCATGAAAAACTCCTTGGAAACTTCTAGTGTTATTGCCCTATTACTATGGGGTGTATGCATTTGTCCTTGGATTATTCCCCAGTACACTGGTTGCCCATGTCTTTATTATTACGAATGTCTTTTTCTGTATTAAACATAAGGTCTTATAATCACAATCTTTCTAAACTGAACACTTCTCACGCTTCCCTTATTAGTTGCCAAGATATTACCACAAAGCATCGATAGATGGATACTCTGCTACTTGCCTTATTAATCGCGAAGAACTTATATGCAAAGTGTCAATTCAGAGAATAATATAATAGCTGAATACTTCTCATGCCCTGCTTATTAGTCGCCATGATTTTATAACGAAATAATTATTTCTGTAACATGCCTTATTAGTCGCTAGGGAATTCTTACATCAAAGTATC